GGTGTCGGCGCCCGCGCGGCCGCTCAGCAGCGACTGGAACTCGAACCTGCAGCCGCCGCCGCCGCCGCCGCCGCCGCCGTGGGCCGGGCTACCCGGGCTGCTACTGCTGCCGGCGGAGGCGCCCGGCGTCCGTCCTTCGATGCTCCTCCGGGGGCTCGGCATCGCGACCCGCGGCCGGACCCCGGCACCGGGGCAGACCGGAGAGAGCCTTCCCGGGCCAGCAGCCTCTTCCGCTTCCGCACTGCCATCCCAGAGGGCGGGCCGAAGAGCCGCGGAGCGCGATTGTGACACCTGGCGGAGACGCGGGAGGGAACTGGGATAGACAGCTTGGTCGAGGAAGAGGTGGGAAGATGCTGATGCTGGGTGGTGCAGGTGAGGGGTGCAGTGATGGGGTAATTTCAGAGGCTGTGGGGGGTGAGGAGAAATACAGTCCTGTTGACGAAAAACAAACCCTGATTGTCCTTCTCTTTAAGATTTCTTGCCCGGGAGTGTTTCTGCCGGACAAGGAAGGTGTGTACCTGGGAGTCTACCTCCTGAATCAATACCTGGAGACTGACTGCTTTCCCTCCGTGTTCCCTATTGCGATTCAGCAGAGCATGAGATTTGAAAAGGTGATCTTGATTTCTCAGTGGGTTTTGCTGCCTGACGACAATGTAATAGCTATCGTAGGAGAACAGTGATTTGTAAATTCCTTCTTAAAAGTTTCCTGAAGGCACTTCAACACAGTGCAAAAACACAGGCAGCTTTGAAGGAAAACGGTTTAGAAGACATGGTTTTACTCTGCAGGTCTGAGCCAAGTTCTGTCAATTGAGTGCTAAATACCCTGGAGGATGCTTCTATTCTTGGAACTCCCATAGCATTTTCTAACTGGGGCAGAGAGCGTTCCTGAATGTTCTTAGAGGTGTTAGAAACGGTTGCATTGCGTTTATGAAAGGGGCTATTAATAAACTTCAGACCTTAGGAAAAAACTTTCTTAAACTCAGAAAAATAGTTTAAAACTATAACCAAATTTGTTAAACCTTGTAACTGAAATCCTATAAGTAAAGGCAAAAAAGCTGTGATTTACTGAGCTTCCTTAAGTCGTGCCCGTGTTACTTAGCTACTGTGGTAAAGGCCAGATTCCATCCAGTGGATACAACCATGCAAAAAAAAAAAACAAAAACAAAAAAACAAACAAACAAACAAAAAAAACAAAGCCCAAGCACCAGCCACAGCTAGTCAATTCAGTATGCAGTAGAGGATGATTCATTTCATTGCTGTGCCCTCACCAACAGTCCCCTATGGCTTTAGTTTCTTCGGATTTGAGATGAAACTGGTGTTGTCTTTAGCAAGCCTAATGATTTTGCCCAATGTCACTGAGGTGGACTTTTGGGGGAGGGAGGAGATCACATCACTTTCAGAGTGGTGGTCTGATTTGCTTCCTGTTGCTGTAGTAAACCCAATGACCAAAAGCAACCTGGAGAGGAAAGGATTTATTTCGACTTACACTTCCAGGTCACAGTCCATCACTGAGGGAAGTCAAGGCAGGGCCAGAGACAAGAAGGATGCTTGCTCAGCTAGCTTTCTTATAGAGCCCAGGCCTACCAGGCCCACAGTGGGCTGGGTCCTCCTACATCAATTACCAATCAAGAAAAGCCCCACAGACACAGGCAAACCTCACAGAGGCAATTCCCTAATTGAGACTTCCTCAGGTAACTCTAGGTTGTGTCAAGTTGACAACTAAAGCTACCTGGGAAAGTCTGGAAACTGGTACACAGAAATCCACTTGTGTCTTTTGACCTAACATGGGAGAAAAGATGAAAATTGTAACGTTTTTATAAATTACATCTTATTCATTTAAATCATGTGTCAAACTTATTGGGTAAAAGAACAAATGGGTATTATCTTAGAAAATACAATTAGAACCCAGAGGAGCCTACTTGTTTCGGTCACAGTTGTAATGAAAAGTAGTTGTTGAAAATACACTATTTTTCCTCCCAAGAATTCCCCCATTTCATCAATTCCTTAAAAGAAGACTTTTAAGATACATTTGTAAAAAGCCCACAGATATAAAATTGTACAGACACAGAATGATAAAACTACAAATCACCTTGAGATGCTACTACCGAATAAGAAGAAACACGTATTTGAGATTACTGATTAAACATATTATGGAACCATTTTTTCTTTTTATAAAATGAAATGAGTTGTTTGGACTCACATTCTAGTTTATTATGGTTCCAGCTCTCTTGCAATCTGTTCCATCTTCTAGTGAAAATGCTTGCAGAATGAAATGAAAGTATTTCCCCCCATGGCCCTTCTGTGTAATTCAGATTACAATGCTTGAAAGCATTTGGGTAGACAAATTCCTCATAAAAATTCATTACCCATTATATTTGAATAGACCATGCTGACCACTTACTCCCCCAAGATCACACTTGATAAAATACTTACATATACGTATATTAGGTTCTTATAGCTGTCGTACAGTAGTACTCCACACGAAGTGGTTTAAGCAGTAAAAACTTATGTCTCACAGTCGAGAGAGTACAAGTCAGCAGAATGTTGGCAGGGCCATGCTAGTTCTGAAGGCATCAGGAAAGGATCTGTTCCAGGTCTTTCTCCTAGCTTGTGGAGTTCTTTGGCTTAAAGCAGCTTAACTCCAATATTTACATAGCCATTTATTCTGTGTATATGTGTGGCTAAAAGAAATTCTGACCCTGTCTCAAAAAGACCAAAAATAAATAAGTAAATATAAATAAATAAATAAATAAATAAATAAATAAATAAATAAATAAATAAATTCTGGAAGCATTAGGCCAGGGGGCTCCAATGCTTTAAGCCCAAAGGAGCCCAATGTAAGGTGTAAAATAAAACCAGAGCTTCACTAATCAGAAATTGTCAAATGGCCTTTGTTACGGATTTCCACTCTAACTAGTCAAATGTATCTGCTTTCCCTTGTTTGCACACCAGTGTAGGAAAGCTCTGGTGCACTCTAAACTTCTTGTTCAGAGTGTACCTGGCTCATGAATTGTTCTCTGCTTAAATACACTCATGAGCTGGGTTTGGTGCCTCACCTTTAATCCAAGCACTAGGGAGGCAGAGGCAGGCCCTGTGAAATTGAGGCCAGCATGGTCTACATAGTAAGTTCCAAGCCAGTAGGGGCTACAGGGAGAACCTGTCACAAAACAAAACAAAAAAGGGGGTGGGCTAGAGAGATGGCTTAGAAGTTAAGAGCATTGATTGTCCTAGCAGAGGACCCTGGTTCAGTTCCCAACACCCACATGGCAGCTAACAACTGTCTGTAACTCCAGTTACAGGGGATTTGATGCCCTTTTCTGGCCTCTGTAGGCATTGCATGCACATGGTGCACTTAATCCAGATAAAACACTCATATACATAAAATTAAAAAAAAATCCCAGACTCATGAATTAATTTTACTTAGAGTTTTTCTTTTTTAAAAAATTTAAAACATGAATTGTACTCAAATAATTTTTTTATAAGAATTATCATATTGTATTAGGGTCCTAATTTACCCCACTACGACCTCATTCAAACTTAACTAGTTATATCTGCACTGACCCTATTTAGAAATAAGGTCACCTTCTGAGATACCAGGGTTAGATATCAACTTGTGATTTTTGACTGGAGCACAATTCAACCCACAATAGTCAGTGAAATGGAAGAATTTAATTATTGAAATAATTTAGGCCAAACAGTTACCCTCATTTACTTCATCAATGCAAATAGATAAGCAAGACAGCTTCCATTAAAAAAAAATGTTTGCATTGTTCTTTTTTTATATTTATTATTTTTATTTTATGTATATGAGTGTATTGTCCGCATGTATGTGAGTGCACCTGTGTCATGCAATGCCACAGAGGTCAGAAGAGGGCTTCGGATTCCCCTGGAACTGGAGTTAAGGATGGTTAAGGATGGTTTGTAGCCGCCATGTGGGTGCTGGCAATAGGACCTGGGTCCTCTACAAGAGCAGTTAGTGCTCTTAACTACTAAGGCATCTCTCCAGCCCCTGTCAGCTTCCATTTTTGCTCTCAAAGGAGACCTGGCTTTGAAACCTCAGCAGATTTTTATTTATTAATTTTTAATCTTTTTGAGACAGGGTCTCCCTGTAGCCCCAGTTGGCCTGGAACTCGGTATGTAGACCAGGCTAGCCTTGAACTCACAGAGTTCCTCTGCCTCTGCCTCAAGCAGACTATTAACCATGCTTAACTTTAACATCATCTATTGTTTAAAGGCTAAAACTGAACTCTGCTGAAAACCTTTTGTTTTCCCAAGGTTCTGGAGGCCTTTTGTTTCAGTCCCACCTCAGAGTCTTTTATATCAAGAACAATGCAGATCTGACAATGTTTACCCTGATATAATAATGGTGGTCCTGTACTTCATGTTAAACTTACAGCAAATCCCTCTTGCTTAACTACTACTGCTTTCCTTTTATGTTACACGTGGGTAAAATTTCTTTGTATTCCTTTTTAGCACATCTAGTTGCATGGGCAGAGAAGCCATCTACTTAACACTTATGAGTACCTATGTATGTGGAATGTTTTTCTAGGTACTCAGGACTCAGGTTGATGCAAGATGTGCTTGCATGTAGAGGTAGTTCAAGTTAATGCCATTTAAAGCATGTGATAGATTTAGGTAGTTTCAAGTTCCTTGCACTTGTTACTGTGATAATTTTCATGTGTGCTACAGCCATTCAATATATTTTTAACCACACACTTACTAAAGGTGCTCCATTGAGTCCTAAAATATTGTATGGCTGGGTTTTGCATGTGCTAACTGCTTGGAAGAGCACAATCTACAAATTCTATAAATACGTATTACTAAAACTTTGAAAATTTATTTTCCCTGTTTTTCTCCGCAGGTGTTTGAAAGTGCAGTAGATCCTGGAGCTGTTGCAGAGCTTTTAGAAAGTAGGTACTTAAAAGAGGAAAAAAAAAACAAAACAACTTACTGTGTAGTTTACAGGTGTAGAATTCTACTATTTTCTAAAGTGTGATATTTTCACGTTTGATCTATATTTAAATTTAGGGAAAATCTGTGGTAAATTTTGGTTTATTTGTTGTTTTTTTTTTTTTTTTTTTTGAGACAGTATCTTGCTATGTAGTCCAGGCTGGCCTTGAACTCTGTTCTCCTGCCTCCATCTCCCAGTATTGGGATTATAGGTATGTGCTATCACACCTCTCTTTTAAAAGTTAATTTATTATTATTGTATGTATATCATGTGTGCATGTGTGTGCCACTGGTACATATGGCAGTCAGAGGAAAACTTTCATTAGTCAGTTCTCTTTCTACTGTGAGATGGAAGTCAGGTTCTCAGGCTTGTGCAGCAAGTGCCTTTACCTCCTGAGTCATCTTACTGGCCCATCACATCTATCTTGAATAATTATTTTTAATTCTGTTACAAATATTTTTCTCAGTATAGATGAGATGTGTTGGCACATGCCTCTAACCCCAGTACTTGGAAAGTAGAGGTGGGAGAATCAAGAGTTCAAAGTTAACCTCAGCTATCTAGTTTGGGGCTATCCTGGGCATGAGACTTTGTCTAAAAAAAAAAATTTACTATCTAAATGTAGATATGATTTTCTGGATGATATGATTCTGTTTTTTATACACATTAAGTGGTTTTTGTATATCCACAGAATTGTGCAACTATTACAGTTAGATCTTTTATTAACTTGTATCATTTTTAACACTATAGAAAGAAATTCTGTTGGCAGTCATTTCCTTTCCCCCTGTGTATTAGTTACTTTTCTGTTGCTGTGATAGAAACACTGACCACAGCAACTTAGAGAAGGAGGAATTTGAGCTTATGGTTTCAGGGGAATTACAGTCCATCATGGCGGGAAGGCATGGTGGCTGGCAGTGGATGGAACAGGAGCAGCAGGAGCAGGCATAGGAAGCAAAAGAGAAACTGGAGATCTGGCAAGGCTTAAGAACTCTTTAAGCCCACCCCCAGTGATGTGCTTCCTCCGGGACAGCCACACCTTCTAAGACCTCCCCAAACAGTGCCACCATATGGGGACAAATATGCAAATACTTGGAGCCTATAGGGAACATTTTCATTCAAACCACCACATTCCACCCCCTGGCCCCCATAGGCTCATGACCATATAAAATGCAAAATGCATTTAGTCCAACTTAGAAGTCCCCATATTCATTATAAGTCTCAATACTATTCAAAAGTTCACAGTCCAAAGTCTTTTCTGAGACTCAGGGAAATATCTTAACTGTAAGCCCCTGTAAAATCAAAAGATAAATTACATACTCCTAACATACAGTGGAACCCAATACATATTACCATTTCAAAAGGGAGGAATAGAAGCATAGTAAGGAAATACTGGACCAAAACAAGACCAAAAACCAGCAGGAGAAACACCAAATCCAGTAGCTCTGTGTCCGTCTTCTGGGACTTCACTTCCAAAGGGCTTAGATGGCTCAGCCTCTCCAGCTTTGCTGTGTGCAACATACATCTCTATCATGTGCTGGTACCACTCCCTGTACGCAGGTCTTCTTGGCAGATGCCTCACATTCCTGGCATCATTAACGTCTTCTTGGGGTCTCCATTGCCAATCAGGCTTCACTGTCACTGCTTCACAAAATGGCCTATCAGGGCCTTCTCTATAAAGGAGAACCCCTGCTACACACTGCCTGGCCTCAGCAGCTCTCTGAAACCAAGGAGGAAGAACAGATGACCTCTTCACTCTTGCATTTTTAATGCCTCTAAAGCAAACACCAGGTGAAGGACACTGCCAAGTTTGACTGCAAGTTTGGAATGGACTCCAGCCTGCTTTATCCATTTTAGAAGCTTTTCTCTTCAGTGGCCCCTGCAGCATTTTCCTTTCACAAGTTGGAGGCTTAACTGCATGGTCTTTCCCTGGAGGCACTCTCTCCATTGTTGAAGTTTGAATCTCTAGGCCCCTCCTTAGTCACTTTTAATCTCCTTATCAAAGGGATCCTTTCTGGCACAGACCAAGGCTTCAACGTTTATCTTCCTAGTGCTCTTTTTCAATCCAAACTGTATTTCTTTCTGCCCCATTTGCTCTTTTTCATATAGATCTGCATAATATTCACCATTAATAGCCACGTCACCATTTCTACATTAGGACATTATACAGCATGTAGTCCTTTGTGATCAGCTTCTTTCACTTAGCACAATGTTTTCAAAGTTCATTTATATCATAGCATCTGCCAATTCTTCATTCTTTAATAGACTATTAAATCCCCAAATTTATCATATTTTGTTTTTCTCTTCATCAATTAGTAGACATTTGAGTTGCTTCCACTTTTAGACCATGATGAATAATGATGCTGCAAATATTTGGGAATATGTTTTTATTTCTCTTGCGTACATATATGTATCATAAAAATACATACACATGAGTGGAATTGCTGGGTCATAGAGTAACTTACAGTCTGTTTTATAACTTTGAAAAGATGTCCCACACTACTTACCAAAGCAGCTGAGTCATTTTACATTCTCCCAGCAGTGTTTGAGCATTTCATTTCTCCCCCTACATTTTGGCCAATACCTGTTGCTGCCTGCCATTTTGATTGGTAGAAGTCCTGTGGTTCTGAAGTGGTAACTTATCATTGTTTTGCATGTCCCTAATGGCTAATGGTGTCAAGTGTGCTTTACAGAAATGCCTATTCATATCCTCTCCCAGGACCTTCAAATGATAGAAAATACAAACTTGTCTTTTGTTTCTGACTTATTTTGCTTAATATGGTGATGCCCATTTACATCTATTTTCCACTTTCCAGTAAACTACATACAGTTGTTCTTCTTTATGGCTAAATAGAACTCCATTGTGTTTGTATACCACATTTTCTTTATCCACTCATCTATGGATGACTATCTAGGCTGATTCCATAACTTGGCTATAGGGAACAGGGCTGAAGTAAGCATGGATGTGCAGGTGCTTTGAGTCCTTTGGGTATATACCAAGAAGCAGTGAAGTGAGTCATGTGATAGTACTATTTTGAGTCTTTTGAGGAACTTTCATACTGAACATCTTATTAGACTGGACCAATTCACATTCCTACCAGCTTGCAGTGGATAAGGGTCTCCCTTTCCTCACACCCTCACCAATACTGCTTGTCGTTTTCTTGATAGACAATTTGACTGGAGAGAGGTGGAATCTTTATGCAGTTTTACTTTGTGCTTCCCTTTTGCCCAAGGATGTTGAACTTTTTTTTTTTTTTTTTTTGAGACTGGGCTGCATGTGGCCCAGGCTGGCCTCAAACTCATTACATAACTGAGAATGGCCTTGAATTCCTAGTTTTCCTGACTCTGCCTCCTAAGTGCTGTGATTACAGGTGTTTTGCCACCACATCTAGCCATTTTCATATGTTTATTGTTCATTTGTACTTTGTCTTTTGACTATTGTCTATTCATTTCACTAGCCCATTTATTGCTTGGGTTGTTTGTTTTTCGATGTTGTTTTTTGAGTTCTTCATGTATTTTATATATTCGTCCTTTGTCAGATGTGTAGCTAGTAAAGATTTTTCTCCTGTTCTGTGGACTGTCTTTTTACTTGATTGTTTCCACTGCTGTGTAGTAACGTTTTAATTTCATGCAATCCCATCTGCTAGTTTTTGGTGTGTACTGTAGGAGTCTTTTTCAGAAAATCCTTCCCGTTGCCTTTATCTTGGAGTGTTTGCTCTATGTTTTCCTTTTACAGTTTCAGTTTTACAGTAAAATCTTTTGTCTGTTTTGAATTGACTTTTGTATTGGGTAAGAGAGCGAATGCTTCATTCTTCTGCATGTGGCTATCCCATTTTGCCACCACTATTCGTTAAAGAAGCTGTCTTTTCTCCAGTATATACGTTTGGCAACTTTGTAAAAATCAGGTGGCTGTAACTGTGTGGAATTATTCCTGGATCCTCCATGCTGTTACCATGATCTGTGTCTTTTTCTGCCAATACCACACTGCTTTTGTTACTATGGCTCCAGAGTATGACTTGAACAGGCATTGTGATGCCGCCAGCATTGTTCTTTTTGCTCAAGACTGCTTTGACTCTCTGGGGATTCTGTGCTTCTATATGCATTTTAGGTTTTTTTCCGTTTTTGTGATGAATATCAGTGGATTTTAATGAGTATTGCACTGATTCTGTAGATTGCCTTTGGTAATAAAGCTATCTTCACTATATTAATTCTGCCAATCTGTGAGAATATGAGGTCTTTCCATCTTCTAGAATTCTCTTCAATTTTTCCAATATTTTAAAACCTTCATTGTAGTTGCTAAGTTTACTTGTAAATGTTTTAAATATTTTAAAATTATTTATTATTCTATGTGTGTGAATGTGGTGTCTGTATGTATGTAAGTGCACATGTGTCTGCCATGGCCACAGAGGTCAGAAGAGGGCGTCAAGTAACAAGTGGCTATTGGCCACCATGTGGTGCTGGGAACCAAATCTGGGTCCTCTGGAAGAGCAACTGGTCCTCTTAACTACTAAGCCATCTTTCTAGCCCCGTTTGTAGATATTTTAAAGTAAATTTTTATTTATTTATTTTATTATTCTTATTATTAGTCTGTGTATAATGTTTGTGTATGCACATGCATACCACAGTGTATATGTTTAGGTCAGAGGACAATTTTGTGGGTTCCAGGGAATCAATTTCAGGTCATCAGGCTTATACATAGCAAATGAGCCATCTTGTCAGTCCCTGTTTGTTAGATTTTTGTTTTTGAAGCTATTATGAGTGAGATTGTCTCTTTTTTTTTTCCTTTTGGTCTTTTTTGAGACAGGGTCTCCCAATAGCCCCAGCTGGCCTGGAACTCACTATGTAGACCAGGCTGGCCTTGAACTCACAGAGATCCACCTGCCTCTGCCTCCTGAGTGCTGGGATTAAAGGCCTGTGCTACCATGACTGGTGAGATTGTCTTTTCTGACCAATGATGAACATAGA